TATTATCAATAATTGTGTATATTATTTCTCCAAAATAGAGAATTATTTAATATATATTGCACTAGTGATCACAGTATAATATTTACTAATTGCCAACCCACAACAGGGTAGGATATTAACCATTGACTAGTTGAACTATTATCGTTCATCCTAGTCCCATTATTACAATAGTCAGTTGTACTATATTGAACAACCTAACACCATTAATGAATGGTCCAGACCCTATTTTGGGTGTAATTTTTATCAACTCGAGTTGAGTTGTATATATAATAATTTACTTATGATCATTACACCTTTGAGTGATTAATTAGTGTCTCTACCATCCTAGGGTGATATAGAAGAGCTAACCTAAAGGTACTTCCAGTGACACTGGTTTATCACTCAAATCATTAGTGTGTATGATTGTATATATATAATGTGTATTAATTTTAAGTGCTAACCTCTAGTAGAGGTAGGATTATTGCCTAGTGAGTTCAGAATTTACCCTAGGCTACCATCAGAGCTTGTTCAGTATTATGAGCAGCCCAAGTACAAGCCCCACAAGGCTTCACCAACGAGCCAGTATGGATAATGCAGGGAGAATGAAAAGAACCCTTGCAGGTCTTAAAGGCCACTTAACAAGACAGATCAAGAAATGTGAAGATTTGTCACAACAATCTCAAGTTGATTATGCTGACCTGGAAAGCTATTATCAAGCAGCTGCAGGTAAATTTGAGCAAATCAAATGTCAAATAGCAACATATGTGGCTGAACTTGCCAACACTAATTTATCAGAAACAGAAATAGACGACATTATGGTTGATCTTGCGAATTATGAAGATCACACTCAGGCCACGTTACAGCCTTATGTCAAATTAATTGCCCAGAACAAGGCAACAGCAACAACAACAACAGTTGCATCTAATACGAGTCAAGCAGAAGCTCGACTCCCTCCAATTAATTTACCCACTTTCTCAGGAAAAGATGAGGAAGATTGGGACGAATTTTGGAACAAATTCGTTGACCTTGTAGACTCAAAACAATCTTTACCAAAGAGTAGTAAATTCTCTTATTTGCAAGGCCAATTATCAGGTGAGGCTAAAACAGTAGTATCCCATCTGAGATTAACTAATGACGGCTATGATCTGGCAGTAAAACTCCTCAAGGATAATTATGCTGATCCAGAAGTAAGAACATCACATTTAGTTCATGAGCTGTTGCATTTACCCCCACCGGAGGCTTCAGCTGATTCACTCCAAGTCTTCAAGCTGGAGGTAGAATCATTGATCAATGCCCTCAGCCTGACAGCAGATACAAACGGGGCTGAGTGGGTCTTGAAAATAATTGTCCAGGAGAAAATACCTAGGGACATATTGAGACAAATGAGTGCTCATTACAATAAAAGCATCTTATCCATGAATGAAATATCTGAAGGTTTAAAGTCAGTAGTTCATCAATTACGAACACATGACAAATTAAAACCACCAAGTAAACCCTCAGAAACCAATAATAGTAAACCACAGAGTACCAAAGGTACTCCAAATCAATCTAGACAATATAATTCAACACCAAAGTGGAACAGTGGCAGTGTGGGCGTATATGCAGTGGGACCCTCCAAGCCTATAGTTACTGTGTCACCCAAGAACGTGACATCAAAGGGTACTGGAAGCTATGGAACATGTTTGTTCTGCAATGAGAAACATTCAATGTACCACTGCCCTAATTTTCCTGATAGTGACGCCCGTGTTGAGCGACTCAAAGATTTGCAACATTGCACGAGGTGCCTCAGGAAACATAACATCAAGGACTGTGATACCCAATTACACACCTGTAATAGGTGTAACAAAGGTCAGCACCATGCAGCATTGTGCAGAGACACCAAAACAACGTCTCCAAACCCCAAGGTGGAAGATAGCATTCCCACCACAGTACAGTACTGCAAGGTGCAACAAACAAAGAGTGTCCAATCGGCAAAGTCTAAAGGTAATACGACTTTGCCTACTGCCCAAATTACCATCCTGAATAAGAGGGCCAAGGTCCATACCCGTGGGTTGTTTGACCAAGGATCCCAGAGAACATATATCACCAAAAAGTTGGCAGATGAATTACAATTAAGGCCTGTAGCCCAGATGTCATTCAACATCTCAGGGTTTGTAACAGATGCAGGACCTCAAGTCTACCAGGTGGTACAACCATCAGTACGTTTAGGCAGGTACGTCTGTCGAGTACAAGCCATTGTGGTGGACAAAATACCAGTAGACCTACAAGTTCAAGGTCTGAGAGCAACAGCCAAATTCCTGAGAAATAGAGGAATAAAATTGGCAGATAATATTAAGTCTGATCACCTCACTGACTTCGGTCTCCTTGTTGGGACAGACTATTGCCATCGATTCATCGGTAGCCCTACTAAATATCAGGGTATAACCATGTTAAACTCTGCAGGAGGTAAATTACTCTCAGGCCCAGTATCAAGCCTGAGGAGACCTATGCCTGCAGATAAACAATACCAGTAGAAATCTAAATTTGTCAGCTGATTATATTTCTCCAGTAGCATTATACTAAGGAGATTACAGCTGACTATAGCAACAGAGGTTGATGTTAGTATCATCATTTGAAGCTGGAGATGAGTTCATGAGGCCTCAGTGGCAAATCAGTGAACAGTAGCCTAAAACAGCTACAAGTCACTGCGACCAATGTCACTGAACCCACTGCAGTCTCAGAACCATACTTTACTTTAATGATGAGCTATTCAATCTTCTGAATCAATTAACTAAATTAAACCCCAATAAATCTGATGACTGATTTGATACATTTATTATTTAATCAAGATGTATTCCATGGGCCTCAGTGTTTATATATCAGTGACCAGTTACCTGAAGAAACTTCAAGTTATATCTAATGTCACTGATCTCACTGCAGTCCCTGAATCATACTTGACTGTAGTACTTGATCACATCCAGTCTTCTGGGTTAAATAATATGTAATAAGGCTTGAATATTAGCCTTTCAAGAGTTGACAGGGAAATGAAATCGCATTAGACTTCTAACCCCTGCAACTCTAGTACGGGACATCCGTCCTGTACGAACAGACGCACAAATGTGTGATTACTAACTACTAACATCAAATTAATCTAATAATCCGAAGGAGGAGTATCGGTGTTCGTCTGTTCTAAATAGGACTTCGACCCGTGAGCAGCCCCCTGGGGAATTATGTCGGAAAATCCGACACCATTTAATAATCATACAGATAATAGCTGCTGTATTACCAACAAGTTAACCATAGAAAACGTAACTTGTAGTGGAATTACCGTCTAAGAAAACGGGATATCATCACCACATACTATTATAATTCACCACCTATTATGGTGGGAATTATTCTTAAATACATTAGTCTTTGGACTTTACCATCATAAAAACATCTTATATAAATTAACTTAATTATCAATATTAAAGTAGAGTAAATGTGACCCTTCTATCACGTTCTGAAATCTGGACAATGTAAGCCAGGCGTCAGAGTGGAGGAAGGAGGGCAGCTGTTGTTTATACTAGACCAGAGGCTCACACGGGAGCAAATTCGGCTCCTGTTAAATTTACTTGGACGTAGTGTTATGGAAACTAAAAGTGTACCATTATCAACACGCTGTCTACAAATTCAAGTTAAGTGTCTATCCGAAACCCATTATCTATCATTAGTGGCCATTAATGTCATTGGGTAGGGTTATCCGGTTAGATCACATGGAAGCCTCAAACTAAAGGTAATTAAGCCAGGTCCTCATGTTCCATGTACTGTTTTCTCTGATATACTTGTCATATATAGGATTCTGGCTTCACAGCTAGCGCACTTTTGACAGGTCAAGACGAGGATGCAAGATTATGTGCACCAGTTACTGGGTGATAGAAGCTACCTCAAAGAGGATAATTTGGTGTCTACACTCTAGTTATACCTGGTGGACTAACCTGCTGTACTATAAGAGAAGGAACCTCATCAATGTATGTAGCTATTACTGTAGTTTGATTGGCTGCATATATATTAATTTAATAACCCCCCCCTAATGTGTAGAGGATCGATTTGTGAGATTATGAGATTATTGCAGAAATACAGTCCACTTATCATTATACAAATTGCTATCGAAGTATATAAATTAACGTAAATATAAATTCATATAAATTAAATAAATATAAATCTCACAAGTCGGTTCCCACAGGTATCCCCCTCTCCATTCCTGCCATGTACCCATCACGTTGTCTTAATTATCTTCTGCCCTCAGAACCTTTCGCTACTTCAGCAGAAGTTTTATCTAATCTCGCTCCTCTGATCTCAGTTACATTCTCAACTTCATTCTCCTCTGGGTTATTATGTTCACTTCTTTTCCATTAAATTGGTCCAACAATTTTATTCTGACTTGTACGGTATTAGGAAGTGTTGTGTGAGATGTTAGGAAGTGTTTAGTGTGAATGGTGTTAGGATGTTTGTAGCATGTGGTGTTAGGATGTTTGTAGCGTGTGGTGTTAGGAGGATTGAGTAATGTGTGTGGTGTTAAGAAGAGTGGGATTAGTATGTGTGTGTTTTGTTAGCACGCGTGTATAGTACATGCATTGTTAGGAAGAGTGTGTGTGTGTGGAGTTAGGAAGTGAGTTGTTTGTGAGTATTGTGTGTGGTGTTAGAAAGTGTGTGAAGTGTTAGGAAGAGTGTGTAGTATAACACTCCATAATGAGGCGGCATACTCCAAGACTGGCCTCACGTAGGCAGTGTAAAGCGCCATAAATGCCTCCTTAATTAGGTTTCTGAATGATGTTCTAACTTTCGCCAGTGTAGAGTATGCTGCTGTCGATATCCTATTTATGTGCCTCAGGAATTAGATTAGGTGTTACGTCCATGCCCAGGTCTCTTTCTCGAATCGTTACAGGTAGGCTGTTCCCCTTCATTGTGTACTGTCCCTTTGGTCTCCTGTTACCTAATCCCATTTCCATAACTTTACATTTGCTCGTGTAGGTATTTCTCTGACCATCTCTGCATCCTGTTCAAGTCCTTTTGGAGTTCCTACAATCCTCATCTGTCACAACTCTTATCAGTAACTTTGCATCATCCTTGAACATTGACATGTTGGATTCCACTCCTGTAAACATATAATTTACGTAAATTAGAAATAGAATTGGTCCCAGCTCCGATCCTTGAGGTACTCAACTCTTTTCGTCGCCAGTCCGACTTTTCGCCGCCTACCGTAACTTTCTGGTTCCTTCCTGTTTGGTAGTTCCCTACCCATGCTAGGGCCTTTCCGCTTACTCCCGCCTGCCTCTCAAGTTTGAATAGCAGTCTAATGTGCTGTACTGAATCAGAGGCCTTTTGGCAGTCCAGAAATATGTAATCGGCCCCACCTTCTCTGTCCTGCCTTATCCTCGTTATTTTATCATAGAATTCCGATAGGTTTGTTAGGAAAGATTTCCCTTTCCAGAACCCATGTTGATGTTTGCTTATAAACCTAATGTTCTCTAAGTGTGCAACCAGTCTTAGCTTAATTATTCTTTCAAGTATTTTATAGGGAATGCTTGTTAGTGATACAGGTCTATAGTTAAGTGCCTCCTCCCTATCGCCTTTCTTGAAAATCGGTACGACATTTTCCCTCTTCCAGCAATTGGGCAATTCTCCCGACATAAGTGATTCATTAAAGATCTTTGCCAGAGGCATGCTGAGGGCCTATGCAGCCTCTTTTAGTATCCACGGTGATATTTTGTCTGGCCCAACCGCTTTAGTTGCGTATGTGTGTGTATGTGTGTGTGTGTATATGTGTGTGCGTATGTGTGTGTGTATGTATATGTGTGTGCGTATGTGTGTGTGTATGTGTGTGTGTGTGCGTATGTGTGTGTGTATGTGTGTGTGTGTGCGCATGAGAACGTAAATTAACTATTTAATTGCGTTACCAATATTAATTGGTCTTATATTATTGACGTAATCTTCAACATTACTATAGTTCGTAGTATAAATGCATACCGTGGCTGGCCTTCAGTGAGTGGCTCCACCAGTCTAGACTGTAGAGGGAGCAGAACACGCAGAGGGGAGTACAAGGTACAATTGAGAACTAAGGCGAAGACTTTCTCCCACCATTACAACCCAACTACTTGGGCTGGACGGTAGAGCGACGGTCTCGCTTCACGCAGGTCGGCGTTCAATCCTCGACCGTCCAAGTGGTTGGGCATTATTCCTTCCCCACGTCCCATCGCAAATCCTTATCCTAACCCCATTCCAGTACTAAATAGTCGTAATGGCTTGGCGCTTTCCATGATAATTCAATCATTATATTTAGGGAGTGAAGTGATTTATGGTCAAAACAACCGTGTTTTAGGTACTGTATCCACTGTTTCAGGTACTGTTTCAGGTACTGTTTCAGGTACTGTTTCAGGTACTGTTTCAGGTACTACCCATTGATTACGGACTGCTAGGCCACTCTTCTCATCTTGCAAGAGCTCCTGTGATAATCTCGTGTCACGCTTAGCAACCAGCACTAAGAATCCTGTCACAGCGTCTCTAAAGTCATCGTAATACCTAGCTGTATAACACACGAGAATACGCAATGCCTAGCTTCATTTTTTCTTCATACAGTGTGGACAGGTTCTGGAGCAGCGCGCCGGGTCAGCCGCGATAATGGCTTTGTGTTCATGGACGCCAACTTTCCATTAAGAAATCATCTGCGTCCTCGGGTTTCGAGTGGTATTTAAAAATATTTATAACTTTTTTGATTTGTTTTTCATTCACTTACTTTGCTATTGGATATTATGTTGTTGTGAGATTTAGAGAGTTGCTAAAAATATTACTGCTTCTTAGAAAGTGATTAAACATTTTACGTTCTGTATTTATGTATTTGTTTAGTGCTTATATGATAGAAAAAAAATAATGTCATCTTAGAAAAACTGTATATCTGTATATTCTCATGATCGACAAATGAGACCCTTTCTGTCTCACGGAATCATACGATACACTCACACGCCAACACGTTGGCTCACTCTCACGCTCATACACTAACAGACTCACTCACACGCTCGCACACTAACAGACTCTCTCACACGCTCACACTAACAAACTCACACGCTCACACACTAACAGACACTCACACGCTCACACACTAACAGACTCACTCACACGCTCACACACTAACAGACTCACTCACACGCTCGCACACTAACAGACTCACTCACACGCTCACACACTAACAGACACTCACACGCTCACACACTAACAGACTCACTCACACGCTCACACACTAACAGACTCACTCACACGCTCGCACACTAACAGACTCACTCACACGCTCACACACTAACAGACTCACTCACACGCTCGCACACTAACAGACTCACTCACACGCTCACACACTAACAGACACTCACACGCTCACACACTAACAGACTCACTCACACGCTCGCACACTAACAGACTCACTCACACGCTCACACACTAACAGACTCACTCACACGCTCACACACTAACAGACTCACTCACACGCTCGCACACTAACAGACTCACTCACACGCTCACACACTAACAGACTCACTCACACGCTCGCACACTAACAGACTCACTCACACGCTCACACACTAACAGACTCACTCACACGCTCACACACTAACAGGCTCACTCACACGCTCACACACTAACAGACTCACTCACACGCTCACACACTAACAGGCTCACTCACACGCTCACACACTAACAGACTCACTCACACGCTCACACACTAACAAACTCACTCACACGCTCACACACTAACAAACTCACTCACACGATCACACACTAACAGACTCACTCACACGCTCACAGACTCACTCACACGCTCACACACTAACAGACTCACTCACACGCTCACAGACTCACTCACACGCTCACGCACTAACAAACTCACTCACACGCTCACACTAACAAACTCACTCACACGCTCACACACTAACAGACTCACTCACACGCTCACAGACTCACTCACACGCTCACACACTAACAAACTCACTCACACGCTCACACACTAACAGACTCACTCACACGCTCACACTAACAAACTCACTCACACGCTCACACACTAACAAACTCACTCACACGCTCACACACTAACAGACTCACTCACACGCTCGCACACTAACAGACTCACTCACACGCTCACACTAACAAACTCACTCACACGCTCACACACTAACAGACTCACACGCTCACACTAACAGACTCACTCACACGCTCACACACTAACAGACTCACTCACACGCTCACACACTAACAGACTCACTCACACGCTCACACAATAACAGACTCACATGCTCACACACTAACAGACTCACACGCTCACACACTAACAGACTCACACGCTCACACACTAACCCATTCATTCACACACGCCACTACCCTAGCACGCACACACCAACACACCTACAGAAACACGCCCACACACTGCCACACTCACACGTCCACATATTAAGACCCCTACACACTCACACACGCTCGCACACTAACAGATTCAAAGGCCCCAATATTTGCATGCTTCACGCCCATAGTACCCACATGCGGGCTAAATGAGAGATACACAAAGCTATACACTAACACACACACACACACACACACACACACACACACACACACACACACACACACACACACACACACACACACAGGGACACATACTAACACGCTCACCGGTGAAAATCAAAATCTTTATGGGTAAAATTACTTTTTAAACATTTGATTAGTTTCAAGGAAGGACTCCGGCAAGTGATCGACCTACTCTCTGGTACGTACACTACTCTCTGGTACGTACACTACTCTCTGGCACGTACACTACTCTCTGGCACGCACACTACTCTCTAGCACGTACACTAATCTGACACGTACAATACTCTCTGGCACGTACACTACTCTGATACGTACACTACTCTCTGGCACGTACACTACTCTGATACGTACACTACTCTCTGGCACGTACACTACTCTGATGCGTATACTACTTTCTGGCACGTACACTACTCTGATACGTACACTACTCTCTGGCACGTACACTACTCTCTGGCACGTACACTACTCTGATACGTACACTACTCTCTGGCACGTACACTACTCTCTGGCACGTACACTGCTCTCTTGCACGTACACTACTCTCTGGCACGTACACTACTCTCTGGCACGTACACTACTCTCTGGCACGTACACTACTCTCTGGCACGTACACTACTCTCTGGCACGTACACTACTCTGATACGTACAAATAATTACATTAATGAATTAATCTTCTGCTCGATTGGCAGAGCTAAAGAATTTCCAACTTTGTCTCATTAAACCTATCTTGGGCATGTGTATGGAGAGTGTGTGAAGTGTGTATGGTAGTATGGAGAGTGTGTGATGTGTGTATGGTAGTATGGAGAGTGTGTGATGTGTGTATGGTAGTATGGAGAGTGTGTGAAGTGTGTATGGTAGTATGGAGAGTGTGTGAAGTGTGTATGGTAGTATGGAGAGTGTGTGATGTGTGTATGGTAGTATGGAGAGTGTGTGAAGTGTGTATGGTAGTATGGAGAGTGTGTGATGTGTGTATGGTAGTATGGAGAGTGTGTGATGTGTGTATGGCAGTATGGAGAGTGTGTGAAGTGTGTATGGTAGTATGGAGAGTGTGTGATGTGTATGGTAGTATGGAGAGTGTGTGAGTGTGTATGGTAGTATGGAGAGTGTGTGAAGTGTGTATGGTAGTATGGAGAGTGTGTGATGTGTGTATGGTAGTATGGAGAGTGTGTGATGTGTGTATGGTAGTATGGAGAGTGTGTGATGTGTGTATGGTAGTATGGAGAGTGTGTGATGTGTGTATGGTAGTATGGAGAGTGTGTGATGTGTGTATGGTAGTATGGAGAGTGTGTGATGTGTGTATGGTAGTATGGAGAGTGTGTGATGTGTGTATGGTAGTATGGAGAGTGTGTGATGTGTGTATGGTAGTATGGAGAGTGTGTGATGTGTGTATGGTAGTATGGAGAGTGTGTGTATGGTAGTATGGAGAGTGTGTGTATGGTAGTATGGAGAGTGTGTGATGTGTGTATGGTAGTATGGAGAGTGTGTGATGTGTGTATGGTAGTATGGTATGTAGTATGGAGAGTGGAGAGTGTGTGAAGTGTGTATGGTAGTATGGAGAGTGTGTGAAGTGTGTATGGTAGTATGGAGAGTGTGTGAAGTGTGTATGGTAGTATGGAGAGTGTGTGAAGTGTGTATGGTAGTATGGAGAGTGTGTATGGTAGTGTGATGTGTGTATGGTAGTATGGAGAGTGTGTGAGTATGGAGAGTGTGTGATGTGTGTATGGTAGTATGGAGAGTGTGTGAAGTGTGTATGGTAGTATGGAGAGTGTGTGAATGTGTGTGTGTATGTATGGTAGTATGGTAGTATGGAGAGTGTGTGAAGTGTGTATGGTGTAGTATGGAGAGTGTGTGAAGTGTGTATGGTAGTATGGAGAGTGTGTGAAGTGTGTATGGTAGTATGGAGAGTGTGTGATGTGTGTATGGTAGTATGGAGAGTGTGTGATGTGTGTATGGTAGTATGGAGAGTGTGTGATGTGTGTATGGTAGTATGGAGAGTGTGTGATGTGTGTATGGTAGTATGGAGAGTGTGTGATGTGTGTATGGTAGTATGGAGAGTGTGTGATGTGTGTATGGTAGTATGGAGAGTGTGTGATGTGTGTATGGTAGTATGGAGAGTGTGTGATGTGTGTATGGTAGTATGGAGAGTGTGTGATGTGTGTATGGTAGTATGGAGAGTGTGTGATGTGTGTATGGTAGTATGGAGAGTGTGTGAAGTGTGTATGGTAGTATGGAGAGTGTGTGATGTGTGTATGGTAGTATGGAGAGTGTGTGATGTGTGTATGGTAGTATGGAGAGTGTGTGAAGTGTGTATGGTATGTATGGAGAGTGTGTGATGTGTGTATGGTAGTATGGAGAGTGTGTGATGTGTGTATGGTAGTATGGAGAGTGTGTGATGTGTGTATGGTAGTATGGAGAGTGTGTGAAGTGTGTATGGTAGTATGGAGAGTGTGTGAAGTGTGTATGGTAGTATGGAGAGTGTGTGATGTGTGTATGGTAGTATGGAGAGTGTGTGATGTGTGTATGGTAGTATGGAGAGTGTGTGATGTGTGTATGGTAGTATGGAGAGTGTGTGATGTGTGTATGGTAGTATGGAGAGTGTGTGATGTGTGTATGGTAGTATGGAGAGTGTGTGATGTGTGTATGGTAGTATGGAGAGTGTGTGATGTGTGTATGGTAGTATGGAGAGTGTGTGATGTGTGTATGGTAGTATGGAGAGTGTGTGATGTGTGTATGGTAGTATGGAGAGTGTGTGATGTGTGTATGGTAGTATGGAGAGTGTGTGATGTGTGTATGGTAGTATGGAGAGTGTGTGATGTGTGTATGGTAGTATGGAGAGTGTGTGATGTGTGTATGGTAGTATGGAGAGTGTGTGATGTGTGTATGGTAGTATGGAGAGTGTGTGATGTGTGTATGGTAGTATGGAGAGTGTGTGATGTGTGTATGGTAGTATGGAGAGTG